TGGTCTCTGTTGGTATGTCTTACTTTGTACGTTAATTGGTCTGCCTATAAGCGTTCCAAATTGAGCGCAAGGCGCAATGACACAAGCATATATCGTCAGTGAATGCACTTCCCACGGTCATGTAAATAAATTCTGCATGAGATACTTGCGATCAACTTGTTTGCAAGTTTAATTCTCACCGTAAAGTATATATACTCTGCTGGCCGTTATGAATGTTTTTAGTTCAGTGTTATATTTGCATAGTACATATGTCATACATTCGTATAAGTCCATTTCAGTGCACTTGGATTCCACAAACCCATAAAAATTGACTGTGTTGAAGCAACAAGCAACCTAGCATTCCTGCTATTAACATGACTTATCCAACCGAACCCAAGTAAACTGACTAAAAAGCATTTAAAGAGTGCCACCTCTCAAGCCTGTATCAATAACAGTTTGCACAGTAGCCTGGCGTTTTACTGTGAAGTCTTTAGTTAAAGGAGATATTCTACGGCTTCTGAACTGTTAAGATTTTGAACAAGCACGTCCCAGTATCCTCAAACTTGGAATCGTCTAGTCCATCCACTCAATAGCAATAAAACCTAAACCAGAATAATTTCTCCTGTCTGCACCACAACTGTCTACTCTAATAGAGTGATGGAACTGAGCTGAAACCCCTGTGGGCACATAAGGGTCCATGGTAGCGCAGTGCCTTACCAAGTCGTAAAAGAATTAAGCTAATGATTTGAAGTGTCACTAGGTTGCAAGACGCGCATCGTGATTCGGAGTACCGTAAGACCTACGGTACCCTGTCTTGGGCCCCAGTTCACCTTTGTATGGGGGGAGCAGACTTCTGAATCGTGCGCCATGTTGGCCATTATGCAACCTACGAAGTTCAGCAAACCTACAAGGCTGTGCAATTAGAGCGTTATACTTGCAACGTACACTTTTCTGGCGGTGGGTGGTGGTGCGGTTGGTGCCGAGAGGGTCCCTACAAAGGGCCATACAGTAGATGCACAAGACCAACACAGAGGACACATTAGGACACAACAAGCATTACTAGGAAAGTGATGACACGCCTAGACGCGGACTCACGCGGCGCCAACCACCGGCGCCCAATCCCGCCTTCGGTATTCTTGATTTTGCTATAACAGTGGCCACAGGTGGATGAGAGAGAGCGTGCAGTAGCTGCTGTGCAAGTCTATTGAAAATGTAAAGTAATTCCCTCTCTCAATCCATCGTCCCTACACCCAACCTGCTTTGAAACACATGGAAGATGTTGTCGTAATCAATGGTCAAGCTGACGAGTGCCTCGGAGAACAGAAACGAAACAGCAGGTGTCCACATAAAGAAGTAGGTGGGAACTATCTTTGGTCGTCGAGGATGGCAACCTCATATCGAGAAGTGCCATTACAATACAAAAAAGGAGACTGAAGCGACCATTCTGGACTTGATCTTTGCCATCGTCATAAATCAGCTATACCCCCCATCCCATGCTTGGCGCCTGAAATATGAACCCAAGTCAGTCAGCCATCGAGTGCATTGAAGCAAACGCACCAACACTCGGGTTAGGGGCCCATGTCTTGCCATCTGTCATAGAAAATATTAAATGCTGGGCACTGATCTATCCTAATTGCAGGCCTAGAATTGACAGCTATTTTTTACTGGAGCCTCTGGTCTAACGTCGTCATGGGCGATCGTAACTGTATATTCCAGCAGGTTCGCCAAGAAGGTGCCGACGATCCGAATTCCACAGGACGGAAATGTGTAACAACAGTAATGTATGTCGTGGAGGTAGGGGTTTTTTGACTCTAAGGAACTGAAGAATGTCAGGGGT